CCCACAAAACCCAGACTATGGACAATTGATAACAGTGCGCGAGATACTTACATCATCATAGTACTTCTTCACATACTTGTACAACTCGAGAAGAGCCGCGTTGGTGTTGAACTCATTCTGGTGACTCTGCGGGCCAGACATAGACACATAGATGACGGTCAGCTACAGTAAATTAGTACATTACTATCCAGCAACTGTGTAATAATAATAATACATTGTACATATAACTAAATTACTTTGATATAGTGTACTACATTTCTATTCAGCTACAGTGTAGTACCTTACTATAGTACTATTCTATATGAGCATAGTACATAACTTTTCACTATAAAATTAAAAAATTGTATACACTTGTATGTAAGTACGTAGTACGTATGTGTTAACCCTGTGGACCTGAGCATACCCCTGAGCTTGCAGAGTTTTACATTTCTGTACAACTAATGCACTCCTGAATGTCTACGCTAGTAAAAATCTAGCAGTGGTCCAGTGGAAGTTCAGGTATTCATGTTCTGAAGATTCAAAGGCATTACAATGAGCTGGATATGTTTCAGTCAGTCATGTAATATTCCTACAAAAATGATTTTGACATGATTAATGAATTCTGTTAGCCTTTAGCAATACACTTTTGCATTTCTATGTATGAATGCACACACATAATCACATATTCAAAGAGAGAAGTGAAAAAAGAGGGTGAAAATAAGGTGAATGGAGGGTGTGAGAAAAAGAGAGTAGAGCGAGAATAACATACAGGAAAAAAGGTAGCTGGGCAAGGCTGATGTTTGCAGAGATTCAGCTTGATCTGTCACATACACAACATTTCTACTGGGAGAACAAAAAAACCAAAAACAAGACAGGCGAGAAAGAGAAATGTTACCCTGGACTCCTCAGCCAGCATGGCAGTCATGTCCTGGTCACTGATGGCTGGCATGATCTTGATGTCTTGGTAGTACCTGGTGGTACAAATCAAACTCACATTTAAAAAACAAACAAAACGAACAAACAAAAAAGCCCAAACAAAACAAAAAAAACCCACAAAAAACCCCCAGTACCGAAGAAGGGATATTTAGTTTTAGTAAGTGTTTACGGCTCTTGCAACACAATAAGGTCATATAAAAGACGAAGATCACAGGTGTTACAAGAGAGTATCAAACACAAAAAAGAAGGAGGAGAGATAAGGACGATAGATGTTTGATAGTCAAGAAGTAGCTAGCCACACCAGAAGCAGGGATGTGTTTGACATGTCAACATAATGCACGCATATGAAGGGAAGTTTCAAATATGTCAAATCTCAGTCAGTCAAAGAAAAGGAGATCACCCAGGGGTGGCAACAGTTGATAAAATTACAGTTCTGAGATTGGGACATGTTCTAGAAGCCTACATGTTTACTGCGTTCTTATCATTGAGTTGGCTTTATGCTGGATTTGGTTTTCATAAAGTAAAGTGGTTTTTGCTATGAATAGCTTCACAAATGAATGGAAAAATCAAAACACAACCACATTGCCTCATAAATTAAAACTTTTCAATAATGGAAAAACAAAAATACATATCTTGAAGATAGAACAGGGGTGACAACAACAACTCCATTTTATACAGAACACAGTTACATTAGCTTGGGTCCGAAAAGGTAAAAGGATAAATTGAGTAGAATTGGGAGTCCATAGCATGTTGGAAGAAAAACTGCCACAATATGCCATGAAAAAAAAGTAGCATAATACAAACAATGCTGCAGAAACACATAATGAATATCACAGTAATGGACAGAAAGGCTTCTAGCCTACTGCAGAATTTTCTTTACAATAGCCTTGTCTTCTGCTCAGAGAGACTTCTTGTATAATGAAGACAAAAATTGGGGATTCCATTTTCTTTCTGCTAACCACCATTTTTGGATTAACCAGGTTCGTTTTAAGTAGACTCCACTGTATATTACATTACAGATGATGATTCGTTTGAAATAACGATGCGTACAACTGTATATTACATCACAGATGACAGTGCGTTTACAACAATACCACATACAACTGTATATTACATTACAGATGACGGTACATCTACAACAACGACGATGACATAAATATCACATCACTGACCTGGCCACCCATTGCTTGTACTTGGGAATATCCTTGGCGTAGAGCAGTTTACCCGATGGCGAGTCTTTGGTCAGTTTGTGCTCAATGGTGGAGCAGCAGTCCATGAAGGTCTGGCCAATCACCGTGAGGCACGCGTCCACAATATTGGACTTGTAGATATCAAAGGCAAAGTTCGGATTCTTGATGACATTCACCCAGAAGCGAAGTGGAAGGCTGAGGAAGGACAAACAAATATCTAAGCTCCCATAACTAGCTCTTCTTTACAGCCTCAGTTGTCATTTTTCTTTACCTCCCTGTATTGTCTTTCTCTCCTTATATCTCTCCCTGTCCATCTCACTTGTCCCTGTCTTTCTGTTTGTCTTTTTATCTCGCCTTGTTTCGTACACCTTGCTTTATGTATCTCCCTGTACCTCCTTATCTTTCTTTCTTCACAAGTTTTCTCGACAGTCTGTCTGTCTGTCTCACCTGTTGGACTTCCATGTGTGCACCACCTCATCGGACATGTTGTGATGCATGGCCTGGTCATCAAGGAAGTCAAACATGTACTTGATGGCCAGAGGCAAGGCCGTGCCACGGTGTGTTGTGCTGAAGATGCGCTCAAACAAATCGTCCACAAATGTTTGAAGGGTACCCTGGGAACAACAACACATAAAAATTGTGTGGCAGAGTTTAAAAGACAAAAAGTGATCAATGGGTCCTAATGTCCGGTACTTGACATGTCACACTGTTTCAAAATTATTATTATTTCTTTTAGTAAGAGTTTTACGGCACTTGCAACACAATAAGGTCATATGAGTGCCGAAGATTAGAGGTGTTACAAGAGAGAAACAAATATAAAAAAGAAGGTGGAGAGATCAGGAAAATAGATGTTTCATAGGAAAGAAGGAGCAAACCACACCAGAGCACCTGCCAACCACCCACTGTTTCGATATTGAACTTCCTCCATTTTCTAAACCTACAAAGTACAGGCACAAAGAACAGATGAACAACCATCAAAACTCATTTAATGAACAACATAAACTTTCAAAAATGAAAACAAAAAACAAACTAAACTTGAAAATGAGTAAAATCTTTGTTTTGAGAAAACGTATATGTATATGTTTGTACGATATTGTTCAAAGTAGACTATCAACTATCATCTTTCAAAACAAGCATTAGAAGCATTTACGAGCAATGAAACGGGACAATATAAAGATTAGCAACACAGAAACGGTACTACAAAAGACAAAAAACATACTTTTACAAGACACCTGGTCACAGGAAATCAGAAAGAAGACAAGATGACATAATTTCAGCATGAAATCAGGTCGTGAATAAAAAAAAAAGAAAAATGTCCTAGAGTCTGAGGCTGGTTCTTACCTTTGTGACCAGTAACCGCGGCAGGTAGATCTCCGAGACCATCTTGCCACCTCTTTCACCCTCTTTGTTGTTAGACTCCACGTCTTGGTGGCGCACCTGGAAGGGAAAGAGACATGGGCACTGGCTTAAAATATGGATTGACATTCGAAGAAAAGAAACTGAAGTTGCGAGTTTTATTGTAGTTCACAGTCAATCAGCCGACAATGGTTGCACACTTCGCCAGAAAGTGATTTGATCATTTGGTCATTGATTAAGTTTAACACCCCTTTTTAACACTTATTATTTTAGAGGTAGAACTTCTGAATTTAATGTCCACATCTTTACGGATTGAGCCAAATGGGTGGAGAGCCTAAAAAACTCACCAAAACAATTCAAGTTTAGAACAGCTTTTGGGGATTCAAACCAGGGCCATTCGTTTCACTCTGTGGTCCAACATGATACCAACTGACCAAATCATGACACCTCCGTGTGCACACTCATGGCAGTTGTCCCATCATTAGAGGGCTAGCACCACCTGCTGAACTGCAACTGGCCTCAACCCACAAGAGACTCAAATGAGTTACAGTTGAACCTGCCATGACGGCCACCTCTATAAGACGGCCACATGTGCAAACAGCCACTTTCCATTTCCCCCCTTGCATTTTTTCTATATAATTTAACTGTGTAAAACGGGCACCTGTCCAACACGGCCCCGGCCACCATATTTTAACACACAACCCCAATCACACCAAGTAATAACCACTCTCTTAGACGGCCACCTTAGTGACTCCATTACACTTTGTCATAAATAGTGCATTGCCCCCTGGCGTTGTGGGCGAGTCGCGTTACGGGCGAGTCGTCATAATCCAATCACCTGTTTGTTGTTAAGTAGTCCCTCCGACAGATCATGTTGCGTAGGCCCCTCCCATTGTTGACCAACAGATAACAAATTTTCAGCTGCTGGTGAGGTAAGCGCGTGATCCCTCATAACCCATAAGCCCTGCCCAGAACTCATACACAAATCGTAAGTGAAATGAGTGGTCATTGTTTACCCAGTCTGTAACAAAGTAACAATGGACGTCAACATGAACTTGTGACAGAAGCGTCGCTCATTCTCCGAGTGGTGGCGACTAGAGCTGTGCCCATTCGACTTTACTATTCGACATAAAATCATTAAGATAAATATAAAGAAATACTCTTTATTTGATGGTTACGAGACAGAGTGATAAGAGGATCCTACAAGAGTTATAAAACAATCCTGTAGAGAATCTCTCTTACTATTCAATATTCACTCGTCACTCTATGGACAGCTCAAGCAAGGGCACATGACTCTTGAAGCGCAGCGAAAGTTTTTTCTATGAAGTTAGCTGTCGCAAAGAGCTCCCCTAACCCTACTCGAAATTCAAAGCCCTATGAACGGTGACGTGATGTCAACGCGTTGCACTGTCTGCGACATCAACACACGTGCGCTCATGACAGGTGTTGAACAGTGCAAGTCAGATCTGGACTATCACAATATCAGAAAAAACAATTTGACAGCGCTTCGAATAGTGGAAGTTACATCTGGGCTTATGTTATATAAGAAAAGACTATTTGACAGCGCTGTGAATACCGGAAGTTACATCTGGGCTTATCACAGGTAAGAAAATATGATTCAATGGCGTTTCGAATTGCGGAAGTTAGATTTGGGCTTATCTTATATAAGAAAAAACATTAGACGGCGCAGTGAATAGCCGAAGTTAGATCTGGGCTTATCACAAATAATAAAATACGATTCGACGGCGAATCAAATTGCGGAAGTTAGATCTGGGCTTTGCTTATATAAGAAAAAACCATTCGATGGCGCTGTGTATACCTAGCGAATGTAGAGTAGCGGCACTTTGGTCTGGGTTTATGTTCATCATAATATAAAAGAAAAAAACATTCGACGGAGGTATTCAAATGTCATGAATAGTGAGCTCACGCTTCGAAGCTTCGATAATTTTTTGTTTATTCAAAATCGCACAGCACTAGTCGCCACCCATGTGTTTGTTTTACCACAGCACCCAGTCCTCCTTGTCTGATGCATTTCGTTTTATTGTCACTCTTGCACAAAAGCAGCAACAAAAACAAAAAAAGGAAAAAAAACCCCCCCAGCAAAAACAACAACAACAACAATGCGGCTACCTTCGGTTGGGACCTCAGAAAGGAATAGTTTGTTTTCTTCATCTTGATCAGTCCTGCCTAAGACAGCCACCTGTCTTATACAGCAATTTTTCTCCTTGACAATGTGTGGCCGTCTTACACAGGTTATATAAAAATGGGGGGAAATTACTTTTCATATCAGACAGTTCAAATGAAAAAACCCAAATAATCTGAGCATACATCAGTGGCCTGAGTGAGTCTGAAGACTCCGGAGGGGAAGAGACTGTGAATTTGTTTTGGATCACGAGAAAAACAGCATGGGTTGAGCAAGCCACAAAGTGCAAATTGTGATAGAGAATGAATCAACAGAATCATAACAGTATGTCCGCGGGACACACACTCACCAGATGGTAGACCCTGCAGTTCTCCACATCAAGATTTATGTTCTGTGGGCTGACACTTCTGTTTAGGGATGGACTCCGATTGTAGTACGAAGTATCTGTACATACAAACACAACATAAAGAAGAACGTAAATAAATTACAACTTTCTTTGTGTCAAAGAGACTTGAATACTACTGTAGTTGGACAACACAAGTCACTCCATGGCATTGAAGAAAAAGTGGTGGACCTAAAATCACAACAAAATCAATTCCTATGAATTATAGCTGGAGCGCTGCGTTGCCGATCCCATAATGACAGTGTATGTGGCTAATTAGTCTAATTTTATACTTTTCACATAAGGTGACAGGAAACAATTAGTGTGCCCCATAACCTATTTAAAAACCTCACATCAAATTCACCCCTCTTACACACACACACACACACACACACACACACACACACACACACACACACATACAAACACACACACATATACAGAATCA